CCCCCCGCCGCGCCCCGAGTGGCCGCGCGCTCCGAGAGAGAGAGAGAGAGAGAGAGAGCCCGCGGAGGGCGTGCCTGGGGAAACGGCCGGCAAGGGCAGCTGGCCAACCACCGTCTGGCGTCGTTCGCCCGCCCGCGGGAGCTCGGCCCCGGGTGGCCGCACGGGTCATGGATCGCAAGTCGAAGGAGGAACATCTGCAGAGGCATAACTTTTGGCGCTCCGCGCGGATTTCTTGGATCCGCGCCTGGGCCCCCCGGCGGCGCCTCTGGCGCCGCCCCTGGTGCGCTTTGCGTGCCAGGGAGGGGGGTCCAGCGCGAATCCAAGAGCTCCGCGCGGAGCGCCAAAAGTTTATGTTTATGTAGTGTTTTCTTCTTCTGCGAAAGGGATTCCGCGGGGAGCCTGCCCTTGGAAGCGGCCATGAGGGGCAGCAGCGCCAGCGCCGCAGTAGGCGACGAGGCCGGCTACGCCAGCACTGCTCTCAGCGACGCAGCGGTTACCACCTGTGCATCCGCCTGTGCTACCACCAAAGGAGGAGGACGAGGAGGAGCAGGATGAGGAGGAGGAGGAGGAGGAGGAGGAGGAGGAGGAGGAGGAGGTGGAGGAGGAGGAGGAGGAGGGGGGTGCCGCTCCTCATCGTCATCAACAGACAGCCCGGGCGCAAGCTCGGAGTCCGCGTGGACGTCAGACCTTTCACCACCTCAAGATGAATCTCTTGTCTCAGTCACCGACGCCCTCCCCCAGGATTGGGGCACATAGAACTTGGGACCCGCAGCACGGGCGAGAGATGGTGGTGAGCGGCGCCCGAAACAACTTGTGCGGGATGGCTAACCTATGCCGGGACAGCCGCTTCCTGCGCTCCTCATCCAGCGCGCCCTCTGAGCCCGCACGCGCGTGCGTCCAGAGAGCTCCGCTGAGACTCCCACTGGGCCAGCCTCCTTCAAGCCATGCGCAATTCTGGAGGCCGCCATTGATGCAAACAGCGGCCGGAGGCTTGGGCTTCTGAGTGACTGCCCGCACAGCGTTGCCCACTAGCCACGGACAGGGGCGCGAACGTTCGTTCCCCTAGCTCCGCACGCGAAGACAACTGCGCACGCAGTCTGCACCCTTTTCTTTTCGAGGCAACGCGCGTGTCTCACCGCTGTCCTTGCCGTGCTCATCTTCGCGCGCCGACGGGCTGCGGCTCCCCTTCCTTCCCCATCCGTTCGCACATGTTCCTTCCCCGCCCGCTTCCCCTCCTCTTCTTCGGCACGCGCCCGTGGCACGGGAGTGGAGGGAGGAGGCGCTAGCCAGATCGCCGCCAACCGCGGCCTGAACATGTCAGCCTCCACTGACGCCATGCCAGCGTCCAGGCGCCAAGTCAGCGTCGGTGATGAGGTCTCCGAGGGGGGCCTGCCCACCACATCCCTCAGAGCCTTCACCGCATCGACGAACTGTGCCCTGCCATCCAGCCGCTTCCCACTGCCACCCGAGCCTGTCGTCCTGTCGTGCTAGACCAGAAGAAGGATACCGAAACACATCACTGGACCTACGACTGTGCTCCCTTGCCGCGTGCCTGCACTTTTTTGGGGGCCCCACGGTGGCTTGCTGGATGCGCCGCCACCCCCACAGCGCGCCTCGTCCAATCATGTGCAGCCTTACGTCAGAGCGTCAGGGGCTCGCTTCAGCCCTGGCCTGCCGCCTGCCCGCCCAGCTCTCCGCCGCGCCCTGTGCACCTCGCCCCACAGTCTCAGCACAATCAGAGACTCGCGCAATATCATCTGGTCGCCCGCTCGCCGCTCCCACGGGAAGTGGCGCAAACTCGGATTCACGAAGGTGAAGCAAAGTTAGACTCCCCGAGGGCCCTCCTCGTGTGCCTCCTCGCGCGCGCGCTGCCTACCTGCCGCTGTTTGGGGCTCAAGCGAGTTCAGGGCATCGCCGCGGCATGCCCGTCAGTCACAAGCGCCCCCCCCCCCCCCTCCCTGTCCTGCTCATTATTCCCCGCCCGCTCCCACCTTCCTCCTCCTCGGCGCGCGCCACTGGCATGGGCGCACGGGCGCACCCGCCTGCGGGGGGCTGGGGTGATGGATGGGTGGGTGGGAATGTGGGTGGGGGCTTGGGGGGCAGTGTGCCCCAAGACCTGCGAAGAGGGCAAGACCCACCCGAGAGCCACAACGCGAACCTCACCGCAGGCGCGGCTCAGACATAATGTAAGTTAGTGCCCGCTGGCCGCCGCTGGCGCCGGCCTTTTTCTGTTGTCGGCCCTGCGCATCGGGGCACTCGGCGCCTAGCCGCTTGCAGCCGCTCACGAAAGGGGCAGGGGAGGAACTATGGACAGGCATGCTGTGAAGACGGAAACTTGGCAGGCATAGCGGGGGCCTCGCTTGACCGCACCCAAGTGGCGAAGGCCGCTGGCAGGTGGGACGGCTGCACTTTCTTGGACCTTAATGCCGTTCGCCGCGCCAGGAAGGGAGGGACGAGACTGCGGTGCAGGCGCGGCTGTTCATCGGGCCCCGTGCCGTATCCGAGTTCGCCGTTTTTGCCAGTGGCAGATCCATCCCGCCCCTGGTGGGCCCGTCCACGCGCGAGCGGTGTCTCGGATCACTCATCGGCGGGAGGAGGCGATAGGCTGC